CTAGGACTGACCGGTTTGATCGCCTTGCAGTCCAAGGGACTCACAGGAGTCTCCTCCAGCACCACAACTCAAAGGCCTCAATCCTTCGGCACTCAGCCTTCCTTATGGTCCAACTTTCACAGCCATACATTGCAACTGGGAAAACCGTAGCCTTGACTATACACACTTTTGTTGGCAGGGTGATGTCTCTGCTTTTTAGTATGCTGTCTAGATTTGCCATAGCTCTCCTCCCCAGGAGCAAGCGTTTTTTAATTTCTTGGCTGCAGTCCCCGTCTGCGGTGATCTTGGAGCCCAGGAAAATAAAATCTGTCACTACCTCCATTTCTTCCCCATCTATTTGCCAGAAAGTAGTACAGATAAAACATAGCAAAGTAAAAGGACGTGAGATCTTAAAACACCAAGCAAGAGTACAACCCTGCTGTCCGGAGACAGTAGTAGTCACTGCCAGATGGAGCACACCTCTAGAAGGCTATCTGCTGGAGAATGAGGCACACGTTGTGCAGAATGGAGAAAAGTTCAGGCTGGGAAGAATAATCCAAGGGGCTACGTACTTGGGCAAATTTGGGAAAGTAGAACTCATAGTAAAACTGTAACTCGTACACCTACTCGGTGTTCTGGTCACTCTGTTTCTTTTCCTCTGCTTACTCTTGTTTTATTCCCCAATGATCACAGCTTTTCATGCTCACTGAGCATGCTCAGTTGTTGTTGGGCTGGGTTTTTTTTTTTTTTGGTCCCCACCTGCATTTTTTTCACTAGAAAGCTTTGCTTGTACTTGGTTAGCTTGTTTAGCCAATAGCTTCCTCCTGTTTATGGATGGCTCCATTCAGTTACACAAAGGCAGGTGTTCCAAGGATCTGCTACTTGTGTGTGCGCGATAAATAGAATGTATAGGGTTGAAGAATAAAAGAGTTTTTAGTTGGGTCCAAGATAGAGAGAATACCAAAATTTGTGTATTCTGTGATTCTTTGTACCTATCCTCTATGGGGTTGTGCTGCTTTGGATTGTACCCATTTCTTTGTTTTGCTTTGTTTTTTGTAAGCAGGAGTAATTGCTCAGGAAGTTCAGGAACTTCTGCCAAGAGCAGTAAGAGTTACTGGAGACTTGACATATGAAAATGGAGAAAAAGTTGATAATTTCCTCATGGTTGATAAGGTACTTTCTTTACTTTTCACATCAGTTTTTCTACAGCACTGCAAGCAAGACTTTTAAAAAAATTATAAGCAAACCAAAGTGATTTTTAGTTATAGTAAGACATAATTATTTTGGGATTTTCTTTTATGAGAAGCACAGTTTAGCTCTTTGATTGCTTTCTGTCCTAAAGCATTGACAAAAATAGATACTGGCGTGGGCAGGGGGGGCATGGATGTCCACAAGTCCTTTTTTTGGAGAACACCATCCTTTGTTTGAAGGGCTGTCCAGTTCCAGTTTCAAGGTAAAGGAGCACAAGAACAGTTGCCAGAGGCAATCAGCACTGGGCAGCCCACTCAAAAGGCAGCCGCACGAGTCACCTGGCCACAGTCTTCCCCACCAGGAAGGCAAGTCCTGTAGCTCTTCTTCAATTATAAAGCTCATTTCTGCATTTGCATCTACAAGGATAAATTGGCACATGCAATTCTTACACAACTTGCTGTTACTTTTTGTCCTCTAGTTTGGTGATGCTGTTCCTCTTTTTTGGAGATTCACAAATAGCCACCCTCACCTGTGGGTCTGAAGACAAGGGAAGGGTGGGCCAAGGGTGGGAATTTTACCTGGAGCTCCTCGTCCTGGTTGTCTCCTGTGCCACCACTGGTAGTATTAGGCTCCTTTGGCCTTGAGGATTTGTACCATTCCTGGCCCACCCCCAGCCCTAGGTATACTGGTAAGAGTTCAGCTCCCCAGATTCAAAACCCCCCTCAGCTGCAGAACTAACCAAAGGAGGACCTTTGGCAGTCGCCTCCTCCCTCCCTCCCTTCGCACCCACAGACACAGCACTTAACCTGACTTATTGGGGTGGTTAAACAATTGGGACTGGCGCAGAATGGGTGCCCAGCACTCCATGCAGTCAATGGGACAGGTGGTTGGCAGCTTTTATCTTCATCTTCAGGACAAGCCTTCCCAGCAAAAAGGAACAACGTTTTCCTTCCACCTGGATCCCCCTTTGCCCAAGCAGAATCAAGGCAGGTGGTCAGTTGATTGAGGCTGCTGGAGCTCTGACTCTGCATCGTTTGCCTGAAAAGGTTGAGTGGCCAGTGGTGGCCTCCCCAGGACCGAGGGCAAACTTGCTGGCCACTAAGACCTGAACTGATGCTTATTCCAGTGTTAAAAGGAGATTGTTTTGGTTGCTCAGGGTAGGTTGACCTGGGTGTCCCTTAGCACCTGGCCAGGTGATGGAACAAAGGAATTCTTGTGAGGAGGGAGAAGCTTAACATACCTTGTCCTGTAAAGAAAGAAGATGTGCCTGATTCGACCGTTCTTGATCATAACCATAGATTCTGATGTATGTCTATTCAAAGGATTTGAAAAGTTACACATCACTGGTAGGGCATCAAGATAAAACAAACCTCCAGTCTATCTTCTCCTCTTCCTGCAAAACACCCTTTCATGAGGATCTGGGCATGCTTTGAAGCTCAGTTGGGAAAGGCAGCTGATTCATGGGACTTAATCCACGGGACTACAGACCGTGTAATCCATTTCATGACTGTAAGCACATGAGTGTTTTGAAGAGGCTCTTCAGTAAATGAATGGTGGAATGACTTGCATTTGTTAACTGTGTGGGCATATCACGCTGTGTGGGTTTGTTTATGGCATAAACGTATTGCACGATGCTGTGTGATACGGGTACCATCCAAACAGAACTTCTTTGTGCAGTATGTACAATTGTGCTTCTGTATGGTTTAAACATACCACAGCAGCTTAACAATATATGGAACAATGTCCACATTATTCAAAGTCTAAATGCCAGTGCTCATGTTATACATCAGTGTGGGAATGAGGTTCAGTTAAAATGCAATATTATAACTAGTAAATACCCACATGAATGGCTTCACATCCATACAGAAATAAGAGAAAGTGCATTCATTTTTGTGATGGATAAGATAAAATGACTGACTTCCCCTGCACAGCCAAAGCTAATCTTAGGGCGTTTCTACATGAAACATTTATTGTGACCTTGTCGTTCCCTTTTTAAGACAACATCGAGATCCTCCAGAGTCACTTGTGTTTAAGCACCTCTTTTGGTGAGCTTTTTTAAGAGCGCAGAAAATGTAAGAATTACTTGTAAAAGTGAAAGAAAACGCAATTTCCTTGTGGGTAGTCACACTATACCTGTATACCACATTGCCACCAAGAGATGATGTTGCAGAAATGCAACTTTCATTTTTGTCACAGAATTATGATATAAGCATTACAGGAAGAGTTTTTCTTTCCTTGCTTTTCCACTACATAACCTTTATATGGCATTGTGATACAGCAAAATAATGCAAACACAAACTAGGAAATCACATTTTGTTTCACTTTCTCAATTAAATGCCACATTTTCCTGCTCTTTTGAGGGAAAAAGAAACTTGCCAGAAGTTCTGGTTCAATTCAGAGGTAAAACTGCAGGGTCACATCATCTAAGGAAGCCATCCATAAACAACTGTGAGTAGGGAAATGGTGAGCATGTGATAAAAGCCTTGTGCAGAAGAAATCATGTATTCCACTCCTCACCTTATATACTCAAGTGACATATGCATCATCATTTTTCTCAGTTTTATGAACCAACCCAACTCATTTTATTTATTTATTTTATTTATTTATTAAAACATTTTTATGCCGCCCCATTCGCCGAAGCCTCGGGGGGGCTTACAACAATAAATTCATCATCATAGGTATGAACCAAGGAAAGCCAATGGGTGTATGCAAGTGTTTTTGGAAAACACCCTGTCACTATGTTCCAGGCTGGAGATCATGGCAGGAAGGGAAGATTAGCCCTCCTTTCCCTATGCACTCTGTTCCTGATTGAAACCAGCCTTCCCAATGCTTTTAAAGAAGCATGTACTGAGGCCCTCATAGGATATCTACAGAAAGACCTCAGGACTTGTATTAGACTATGCCAGTGGGACAGACATAGCACAGGGGGAGGGGGTCCTCCTCCTCCTTTTTTACTACAACCTGGAAGTTTACCAACCAGAATTAGGTGCAAAATAATGGTTCACAGAATCTTAGAACAAGGATACCTCCAGGCACAGGCTCAGCCCAGGAATTTCTTTCCAATACCAGAACTAAGCTCATAGTTCTACCTCTATCCTATCACCAGAATGATTCACTCCTAGTTCCTTCATCCCATCATCTCCCTTCTCAGCAGGTCTATTTAGAAGGTCACTGCTTGCTGAGGGGTCAGGAATATTTGCTGATCAACTGCAAATGACCCAGAGATCTACCAACAGAGCTTGGAGTCTGTTGTGTCCACCTCTGGTCTATTTAGTGCTGTTATACTTCAGGAAAAAACCTCCCTAGCTCCCATTTCAGCAAGAGCATAAGGAGCTCTCTTTTTCCATCTGTCTTTCTCTCCCTTGGGTAGCTGCATTAGAGTTGCAAGATGAATGGCTCAGCTGAACCCCTTCACACCATCTGACATGCTCAGAATGTACAGCGTGATCGGGACGTCTGGATCTGTCTATTGGAAACAGTCGGTAGAGGAACGTACTGAAAAGTCTCAGCTGCCTGCCATGATAAATTTAGTGTTTAGGCACAGCATTAATTCAAAACAAATGTTTTAGCATGGTGGTGCTTGATGTACTCTTGTTAGTCAGTGCCTTTCTTGCCCAAGTGCTTACTGGCAATTTACTGCAGATGGAAGATGCTTAAAAAACAACAACAACAAACTGGTCCAGCAGTTATGGAGGGGTTTTAGGGTCCCCAGATGGCCTTTTCTTTATTTTGAATTAACTTTCTGTTGGCATGGCATATACTTGAGCTTTCTTCGGGGTAGAAATGACAAAGTACACATCAAAGCCAGTATTCCAAGATCTGCACTTCTCATATGATCCATATGTCCAGATGAGCTTCACACTTGTGCTTCTGGAACATCCCCCCCCCCCACCCCCATGATGTACCCAAAGCACTTCTGAGGCCGGCAAGGGTCGCAAAAGCAGTTGGTGAGGTGGTGCTGGGAGGGTGCTTGCAGTTTTAAAGAAATATGAATTGAGCAATTGCTCTTGGATGCCCATAGATCCTTTGAGCTCATCTAAAGAAACCCATCAAATCCTGTTTTCCCATCTTCATAGTTGTTAGAATTCGTTGCCTCTGCATTGTTTTCTAGGATCAAATTTTTATGGAGAATGTGGGTGCTGTCAAGCAGCTGTGTAAATTAACAAACAATCTGGAAGTCAGGATACAAGAACTGGAATCATGGAATCAGAAACTTGCCAGACTGAAACGAATCAGCAGCATTAATTCAGCAACAACCGAAAAGAACCCAACAAGGTATCTACTTTCTTCTCAGGACACATAATTTGGTGCAAGTTGACTGGGTCTGAATGACAGGACTGCCCATCATGGGTTGTCATGTCATGTAAACCCAAACTGATTTCCACAGGGTGGCTTGTTCAAGGACCGCAAACCACCCACAAACTCATGGGCTTTTGTAGGGATATTGTATTCACAATGGGTTGTTGTGACAGACCTCCAACTGGGATGGGGAATCAGCTACTGTGCCTCTTGCTAATCGATTCCCATTCTTGCCAGTTGGCTCCCAGGTGACCACCAGTACTGACTGCCCTCAAAATGCCCACATCGCATTTTGGGAAGACCTGGCACTGGCTTCCTCCCTTTCTTGTCAGGATGGCAAGCAGGCTCGACCGCAGTGCAGTTTCTCTCCCTCACTTGTGGCCAAGATGGTGATCCCTCCCTTGAGAGCCACTGACACTCCCTTAAAGTGCCTGAGGGGCACCTGAGAAGGCCTGTCTGTGGCTGTCAGAACCATTTCTGTTTTGTGCAGAAAAGCACTTTAAAAGTTGTGCAAGTTATCCAGTGAAGCATTGGCTAGGGCAATATCAGTGGGATGCTTGCTGCCAAGGTGCAGCAGGTACCAAACTTGGACATTGCCTTGGAGATACTCCAACTTTTTCCTACTGTACAGAGACAAGCTGCCAAAAAGCCAAGCCAAGCCAAAGGAGTAGGTGGTGCCAGGTGATGATGTCACAAGCTGCAGCTCATTAGCCGCGACTCTGAGTTTTCTCATGTTCGAGAGTCAGTCAGTGCACTCCCAAGGGGATATATATATATATATATATATATATATATATATATATATATATAT